TATAAAAACCTTAGACAAGGACATGAAAAACAATATCAACACACAACTGACCTTCGTCGATAGCCAGACCAACAACAAACTATAGCTGTACCAAATTTTGATCATATATCATGTTTTTGTAAATTTAAAACTACTGTCGAAGCAATTTGCACTTTGCTTGCTATAGCTTTGAAATAATTCATGTTGCTGAAAATTGAAATGCCTTTTGAAAATCTATTAAGATTTTGTTACATCCTAAGTAATTTGATTATCATTGAAAATCAAACATTCATGTAAAGACAGATAAACTAAGCTATTCTGGAAAATAAGTCTTTTCATCAGCCTTAAATCTTTTATAACAAACTTTTTTCTCATTTGTTGAAGGTACTGATATATTGGCTATATTGAAAAAGGTTCTACTTATACTCTGGAACCCTGGAAAGTGCTAATTTAGCAATGTGAATTAACCAAAAAAAAAAACACTGATAATACAGGTGGGTATTATTTTAAGAATAGCTGCATATTTTTGATAACATGCCTACTTGAGGATTTTTATAATTGGTGTAGTAAAGTAACTTGTTAATTGGAAAGCTGACAAGAGGCTTTATCTGTACTGTAACGTTTATACCTCAAATAATACTCTTCAAATAATCCTAATTAATATACTCTGCAATAAAGATGTGAAACAAATCCTAGACAAATCCCCTATTGCAGTTTAGGGTCCAAAAGATGCATAATTAAGATGTATACATGGTCATCAGAAAACAATGTTTTGACGCGACGACGTCATGTAAAAGATAAATTATGAGGATCAATGATGTTGACCCTGTATGATACACCTCTAACATCCATTTTAACAATGTACATTCTACACCTGCACCGTCACGTCCATTACAAACCAACACTTACACGTCCTGGCCTTTCTCAAAAGTTGATCTACGCATCTGTCAACTTGAAAATATTCAACCTTATGTACTGCTTTCAGCTTACAATTTATTATACATATACAACACCGACAATCATCCCTGCTTATGATTGTTTTTTTGTAATTCTGTAACACGGTATTTGTTGTATGCTTCTAACAAAAATTACCAATTCTGCCTGCATAAGGACTTGATAATTTCGGCTCTTTAACCAAGACATTGTACCATACAATTAATTATTTGTTAATTTACCTCATTCTGGCCAAATTCTCAATAAAGAGAGATCAAAACAAATCAGACAAATTGTAATCATACAGTATAAATAAGCATAATCGAAATATAGCAAGAATCAAATTATGGAGTTGCTCACCTACAAAGGATAACATGAATTATTGCCCTTGTTACAGTTTAGTTTCAGCCATCATGACATTTTTCAACCAGGCCAATCTTGTGTGACAACGTCTAGAAAATACTACTTGTAATATCAAAATGTAACTTCAACGTGTCCACCAACAAAGTTTGTTCTTGTCTCCTCATCACAATAATAACATACTGTAGATGACACGACATATAAGTCCTTAGGGGCAATACAGTTTTTAACGAAATATGTGAAAATGCGATATAGGTTTTGGAAAATGATCACTTTCTGTTAAATCACGTAAAAAAAAAGAATCAGTATCTTTTCACGTTTCTAATAATTTGTATTTAATCATATAAAACCTTGGTAGCTATATTTGCATAAAGGGCTGGTCCCCAATGGATTAATTTTCTAGATCATATTAGTATTACGCACCACCCAAACAAATAGAATTCGGTCTACGCCTTTTATTTGATTGACAGAATTATTTAACAGTAGACTGGTGTTCAAAGGGCTCCTATATGTTAAAATATCACTGTGGATTATGGTGGTTTTCGGAATAAATTCAGTTGATAATTTATCAAATTTGAGTCTACATATATGCACCTCTAATATATGTGTATCTTTCTTATTGAAAATCTGATCTGAGGTAAATATTGCTCATTACAAAACTGTTGTACATATTTCATTAAATTTATGCAATATCATCTTTTATAATATGAACGACTTTGGGATTTTTCTTTTAAAATCCTTGGAAATTTCTCTTGAAAAAGCCGGATTTATTTAATATATTTTTTATTTGTTTACTATATTTCCTTTGAACAAATTTTCTCGTCAAAATCCTGGAATGGTTTTCTTGAAAAACATCTGAGTATATTTTCACTTTAGTATACGGGTATTTTTAATTCTGTTGACAAAATATTGGTATCCATCAAAACTGATAAATTCTGGTACATTTCTCTCTCAATATCTTGTGAAAATTCTCTTGATAAAGTTCTGGTATATTTTTTGTTTTGCAACTATATTCTCTGCCAAAATCTTTGTGTATCTTCCCTTAACAAAGTTTGGTTGCTTTCTTTTTGCAAAATTCTTTTTATCTCGCTTGACAAGATCTTGATGTATTTCTCTTGACAAAATCCTTGTATATGACAATTTAATGGTATTTTTTTTAACAATATCTACTGGGAAGGTACTTTTCATCATTTTCTATCCTAAAAAACAAACATTGAATTATTTTCATATTCTTGTTATTAAAAGTCTAATGCTCTCATCGGGGTGAAAGCGTTCGCTTAATATCTATGTGTCCGTCCCTGAATGAATGAACGAATGAATGAAGCATTAAGTATATTAAAATCTTTACTACTTTAAGAAAAAATTGCATGTCACAATTTTAGACTATTCATTGACGCATTTAACTAATATACGTTTACAATCACAACCATTCAGCGTCACAATAGATATTCCATATTATGTTACAACACAATTTAACATATACAAACGTAACCACTAATAGATATTTAATATCTCATACTTACTACAAATTTACAATTCCCGCCTCACAACTCAAAAGATATTTCATAAGTCACAACACAACGCTACATTTACTTTCTACGACTTTACACTTTTAACGTCACGACCCAATAGATATTTCATATGTCACACCACAATTTAATATTAGCAACGTCACAACCCAATAGATATTTCATATGTCACACCACAATTTAATATTAGCAACGTCACAACCCAATAGATATTTCATATGTCACACCACAATTTAACATTAACAACGTCACAACCCAACAGATATTCATATGTCACACTAACTACAACTTAGCATTTCCAACCTCACAACAATTTTTAACGTCACAACCTAATGTGCATTTCATATACCACACTACATGTTACATTTCCCCCGTCACAGACAAATCGTTATGTCATATGTTAAACCACCTACATTTCCCATATCACAACCAAATGGTCTTTTCTTTCTTTTGAATGTAATTGCCCTTTTCACCCCTAATGGCCATCTCCAGTGTCACAACCAAGTGGACATTTCTCATTTCACATCCCAATATTTCCCATTACGCAACCCAAAATGAGAGCTAATGAGACATATTATCTCAGACAGCAATATATATCCGATATGGGGTGTATCGAAATCGCATTCATTGTATATTCTCTATAAACGCCCACTTTACTCTTAAGACATCAGTTTTTTAACTAATGACCTTTTGTCTCGATCATAATCTCCTGGGATATTTCAAACGAAATGTTTTCCACCCGTCCGCCACAATATCCTTGTCTGTGGCCTATTCATTTAGTAGTAAGCACAATTTGTTTTATGGGGCCATTTTGAAAAAATACAATTCAGATTATTTATACATTTTGTAATGTTCAGTGGCAATGTACATAATATGAAAATAAATTAAGATATGCAAATATGTATATACAATTATTATGATAATGTTTCAAGGCAGTTTCTATAATAAGCAAAGACTTTGCTATCCGTTCATCCCATGTCATTCATTCATTTATTCATTCATCCATTAACTTAATTCTATCATTTATAACCACACAAATTCATTCATACAACCATATCAACCTTGCAATTATATTCAAGACATTTACTCATTCGTTCAACCATCCAAAATCATAGCATACCTATATTTATTTATATGATATGAATGAAAGGTGATAATACAGTAGTTTGTATTTCTAACCTTACGGAAATTTTTATTCTCTCGAGTCGATGGGAGAGTTCCGTTTGTGATTTTTCTGTGGTAAAATTGATCAGTTGATCTCATTGAGATATTGTGGTTTATGACACTGGTATGTCAAAAATTGAAAACACGAAAAATTCAAACATCATTTTTTTTTTCACACGCCGCCTTGGACAAAATCTAAACTTATACGATCAAATATTTTTAAAAGATATTTTGAAAAACATGTATATCAAAAAAGACATACTCACGTTTGGACAAAATCTAGTGTACTTGCAAGGCGGGTACAATGAAATTATTCTACGACCCGTATTTCATTAAAATGTATAAATGCAATTTATAATTATGTTACATATCTACATTCGTTTAGTAATGTAGTTAACAGTCATAATAATACACATTGTTTACACCATGCACAAAAATGGTATCTGTCATTGAATAAAATTGTTATGAAGAGATTCGATTTACCACCATTTAAATAAATATAAATAAGTCATTATAATAAATAAGTAACACAACATTAACAATGATAATAGGCGTACCGGATCTCGGGGACGGAATATGGTGTGCCCACAGTAAATCGGAAAGGATTGAGGATGGACATTTTTATGATATAATTTTGAATTTTGAAATCAAATCGTCAAATCGAAATTTTTTTATTTCAGATAATTTGAGACGAATTCAGAACCGATAACATCGTCAGAATAACAAAGATTTCCTACTCCTTTCCCCATACGCCTATTGTTGGATGATTTTTGATCCACTCTCTTCTCTACCTTGCAGTTAAAATCACAGTGAAATATTTGGATATGACAATACGCTAAGGAAATAAGCAGCAATATTTCACTATCGCGGATTAATGAAGTTCTCTTCCAGAGTTGACCTCGAACATTACGGCTTGAACAGTCTGTTCGAGTCTTTCCTACCACTTGCATCCATACTTTGGCTGATGCGTTTTGGTAGATGGAACACATAAGTTAGCATTATTTAGCACCATGGTATGACGATTGCATCAATCTATCAACACTGACGTCTGGCTAAAAAGTCTAATTCTTGAAATTTTTCTTTAAGACGGTACTGAACTTGAACATCATTGGTTGGTGGTAAAATTTCGTGGCCATAATAATTGACATCACATTCTGTTTTTTGACCTTCTACTAGTCTCACATCAAAAGAGTTCATTAAATTGACTAAAAACCATTTTGTTTGAAGCAAAGAATATTTTTTACCAGGACAGAGAGAACCAAAGGCGACCAAAGGGTTTTTCAGTTCTTTTCCATTTTTGTAAAATTTGGCGTCAACGAATCTGTCGTGTTTGAAAATCTGCAATGAACAATAAAATCTTGATAAGTTTCATATTTAATGTGTTAAATTAAAACAAAGAAAACAGAACAAAAAGTTAAAAGATATACTTTCAGCTGCAAAAGCCAACAGAAATTGCGACAAAAGCAATTAGCTAAATAAGGCAGCATTACAGTATTGCACCCATCACCATTAAGAAAGGACTTGCCTTAGAGCAAGGTTTTCTTCATTCAATGAAGTTGAAATCTGGTTGGCTGTATTTAAACACTACCAGTTGCACTTCTTTCAAAAGACCAAGTCAACAATCGAGTACAACCGGGGATTATCAAGCTGGTTATTGTTTTAAATATTAATATTATTTATTGCTTTATAACGGAACTTAAATAACGTGCACTAGAATATTTGTAGATTGAACTCTATTACCAAAAGATGAAATAAACATTATAGTTATGTACCTCGGGGTCTTCAAATATTTCTGGGTCTTTGTGGATAGCTGGTGGATACATTGCTACTCTATCACCTTCTCTCATCAGAGCTTTGTCTCCATTGTCCATTTCAAATTCTACATCTTGGGTAATATATCTTACCATAAACACACCACTTGTTACTCTCAATGTTTCACGGATTATACTGTCTGTAAACAAAAATAAATGTTATATAACAAATGACAATGAACAGGTTCTAAAAATTCTATCTCTAAGTTTTAGGTGTCATGTCACCTGAATTACATTCCAAACGGATTCTATCCAAAGAGGTCATATACAATGTATCGTCGATTGTGCGAAGAAGGGTATATATAAATGCCTACCTAAAATAGGAAGTTTATCAAATTCTTCAATGCTGATTCCAAGAGGACCATTTTCCGTTGCTGTCTCTGTCTTTCTTTCAACCAGATCTTGAACTTCTTTATGTAATGCCATAAAAGTTGCTCTATCGTCCAGGATATGATACAAAACCCAAAATGCCAGACGAAATGTGTTGTAGTTGACGTGAAGAAAGACCAAGTTGTGACCGACAATATCTTGTTCAGATTGGTTGTTAGCTTTCATGAATTCTGTGGAGAATTTGATGTAGTCTGATACACCAGGTCTTTTTAACATTTCATCAGAAGTTGGTTGCTGACTCAATACGTTCAATGCTGCTGTGGCTTTTGGGAACAACTTGACTGGTAATCCCAACCATAAATAATTGAAGTATTTGTGGAAGCTGTCGAAGTTCTTGTAAAAGGTCTGAGGCTCAAAAGTCTCTATTGCATCTCCCTGTCCGAAAATTGTGTAAAACAGGGCAGAAAAGAGCGTTTTTGAGGTCAGATCTCGAAGTCCATCCTGGCCCCAGTTGTCACCAATGGTTTGATAAATGTTGCCATTTTCATCAACTGTTGATACTTTTGCAAAGGCGTTCTTCAGGTTATCTGCGAAATTTCTCATACCAGTGGTCAAAAACCGACCATTAACCTTCTTTCCAGCTTCAGATAACATCTTCCTAGCGTCAATCAACTCAAAATTAAATACATTGTGATTGACTTGTCGCTGGATTGGATCAAAATCGAACACCTTCTCCCGGGCCAGGTTTTCATAAGAATGTGGATCAAGAACTAATGTAATGTACTGATTAAGTAGTCGAATGGTAAATATATCTCCAAACTTCTTCTGACATCGATGTAAAAAGTTGACAGCATGTTCCGCAAATTCTGCTCCATTTCCCCATAAAAGGTTGCCAGGTACGATTTCGGGCTCGTTAGGGCGTCTGGAATAAGAAAATTGAACGATAAATAATCAAATATTTATATACACGCAGAAAGGAACGATTTCACACCAAAAGTAGCATGAATATCGAAGATGTGATATTTTTTTGCATCTAAATATCAACAAGGTCAGAGTTTTAAAGTGCGCGCCTTTGTTTGAGTATCGGTATTCCACTCAAGGTTCTAAATTACCTTTCGATTGTTGATATTTGAAATTAGGAGTTGTTTAATACCCTTGACCTTGGAATTGATCCATTGACTTCAACCAAATAGAACCCGTTTGTTACCAATACGATAATAGTTGACAAAACTTGTATAATAAATACAATTTATTTATTCTTTGGTTGTGATCACACGAAACCACATATAGAACGTGATTTTGCGAGAATTAAGATATCGTTGTTATGGGTCTGATTGCAAACAACCAAGGTAAACAATGTCAGCCCTGTTTAAAAACGCCAACCATTTAGATTGGAGCGATCCTACCGTCAGTATTTGATAAATTTCAATATCAATAATGTTAAGGCCAGACATTCGTGTCAAGGGCAGGCTAATATTTTTTTTCAGTCGAGATTCTTTCTGTTTGTAACCTTTCAAATTTCCCCCTTTTTTGCGCTCGAAACATTCTTGTCAACACTAAATGTCTAGTTCAAGTGCATTTCTATAAAGATGCATTATCCGACTGTTTACATATAACGGTAATTGATTAACTTTATGTATGACATTATTTTAATACCAAAGGTAATGGAAGGAAAATAAACATAAGCCTGGTAATATAACATGTATACTGCTAATGTTATGTCAACTTAAAACCAGCCAGACAACCCACCGATTTATGGCATTAAATATAATTGGAAATGGTTCTTTACCTTCGACGGTAGATGAATTTGAAAAAGGCTACGGTGAGACCGATGGCAATCGCAGCTAAATATACAGTGACGGCAACCATTATTTCTTGTCTTTAACTTTTGACTTATATTTAAATACCAAGTAAATCTGGATAATAATTTCCTTGTTGGTTTTAACAAATCTCTTCTAATGCTCTAGATTTTTATAAAGTAGTAACTTCTAATCCAAATACCTTCTAAGATTACTTTCAAATCTAAAAAAAATAAAAAATATATATAAGTGAATTTTAGGAAGTATGTAACTAGGACAATGGACAAATCATTAAAATATAATTTTCATACATAATACGTTTTCAAAGGTGTTTTTCGCGTTTTATTATTCACATTAGATTACTGTTTAAAGAAATGTACGGCTAGCATTTATAAATTTATTTAATTCAGGCCGAATTCTTTTTCTATGTCAATTTTCTCCTTGTATATATTTGTATACATCAAACATCAAAGATGTACAGCTTACATGTATATAGATATATAATAAACAGAAAAATAAACCGGTATATCTCACTATATTAAAATATAACTATTTCTTGCTATATCTCTAATGACACAAGATACTTAATATAGTTTAAACAAAAGCTTCAACTATAAATCATGACCAATTATATCTAATTATAGTAGTATTACCAATAACTTATCTCTAGAATCCAATCAAATCATTTTCACGTTTTATAGATATCAATGTGAAATGTCCCTCTTTATCAAATGGAATTTACAGCGCATATCCTATATAAACCCGGTATCTTGCCACCGGAAGGGAGCATGTCGCTATATGAATATTTTAATGAAAAACGATTGGCACTTTAATTTGTTGTTTAAGACAATAAAATGAATCGATTGAAGTCAATCTATAAATCATGTAGTCAATTGGGAAAAAGAAGAAAAATTGAGTATATATAAATATATTTTATTGCCGCCCACGTCATTTATTATAGAGTTACTGTCAAACTTCATTCTAAAACATATTATTCAAATTCACACAAATTCAGCAGTTAAGCTTGAACTTTTAATTTTATTACTTATGACATCAAAGTGAAATGATCTAAAAATATCATGCTATTAAATAAATTTCATTTCATCCATCAACAAGCCTGCTTATTTCAACAAAGGAAAATGACGCAACATTGAGAATTAATTATTTGAAAGAATCTTCAGTTATTTCACGGTATGAAAGGTGTAGGAAACGTCGTTAATCACAGAATGCAAGGTATCCGTAACCAATGCCAATGTATATTGCATAAGAGAAATTTTATCGTCAATTACATAACGTTGAAATGAAACGTGAAAATATTGCGTAATGGAACTTTAAATTTATCGATTATCGAGCACTGTTTATTTCAATGTTATTGCAGACAGTTTATTGTTCTTATAGTCTACACGGTATATATCAGTCAATAATATTATCTATAAATCCCAATACATAATCCAACATAACGCTTGATTTCTTATTATTATAACAAGATACTTCATCTAGGTGGAAAATAACATTCTTCGTTCATTAACATCTAGTTGATAAAACAATTAGAGCAAATCTTACAAATAACATGACAACATTTTGATTTGATCTGATGACAATTAAGGGTATATTGGTGTTAGCGAGAACTTACTAAGGTCTTTACCCGAGATTTGTGAGATAGGAAGAGGTTACACCGTCAAAACTATTAGAGAAATAAATGGAAAAGGACTTTGATTAGATTTATCTATCGACATTGTTGAATGTGTTAGGGAAATATCAGTACAAGTACCTTATAGTAACTATAATGGGCTAGCAGTTAATTAACTTTCATTATACAAATAAAACCAAATTAACATTATACACTGATATAGGGTCTCGGTAGAAAGGAATGCCAAGTCGACATCACGATCATTTTTTAATGATGAATGTATAATGCATTTGTTTTAAAGCACATCTTCTGTAATATAAATTTAAACATGAAAACTTATTGATTATTATGTAAAACGTAGCGTAAGATTAAGGGTTAAGAATCGTGCTTTTTAACTCAACTCTATGAAAGTTTTAAAATAATTTTAATGACAAATGACATCCTATATAATACGAATCAATATAAGGAAATGGTAACGACATTTATAGGATTATAATCAATCTTGAAGGATTGGGATTGGGGCTGAATTTAAATCTCATTTGAATATTATCTGAATAAATATCCTAGTTTTGGTCACTTTGACTGTCAACTAGGTAGAATAATGGCATACATATTGATGATAGATCGTCTACATGGGTTATAATATATGTCAATAACCTACTCCGCTTATTTAAAATACAACTATTTGTCCTACATTCAATTTTATCTCACACCATCCAAAATCAGATAAAATTTCAAATATTTTAATACTTTATCCAATAATTCATAAAAGACCCATATAGAGATTATCAGACGAGTCCAAGGTCCGTATTGGATTCTTACCGTCCTCCTTACGATACAGGGGAGGTCGGTCTATCTATCAAGATAAAAATAAAACTACCCGGTGGTCCTCATACATCCTTACTGTTAAAACTGAATTAAATACAGATTCTGGAATCACACGTTCGGTATTAAATCAAAGACTATCCTGGAGTTGACAGACATGACTTTAAGACTTTGATCAATAACCAACTAATAGACAAACACAGTCGAAATGCTTACAAAATCGATTCCTACCTGGTGACTCAATAGCAGAGTGATACATTACCGGCTTACATATAAGACAACCTAATAGTAACCATTGCAAGCGACATACACATAAATTAAACCTTTTAAAATCAGTCTTAGACTAATGCCTATTCATAGAATCCCATTTATATACTCTTTCACAAGCTCAAGCAACAATCTGACACGTTCTAATCTTTTACTAAAAGGGAACAACACCCTTAAAGTCTAATTACCATGAATGAACAAAATTGGAAACGACAATATTATTCACTTATCTATTGAAGCCTTTTTTCTAAAAAAAAAAGCGCTCTCAATTGAGCATATTATAGCGTAGTTAAGTGATATTAATGTTCAAGTTTGATGACGCCCAAAACATTTAACAGTGGAAATTATAGCAGGTAGTGAGCAAAATTACCTTTTACCGCCTACGTTTACATTATAATATAGTCTGAATATTATTAGTAGAAAACTTTTACTATATGTTTATAAACAACTAAATCAAGCCAACTTACCACACATGTCATTTATCCAGTATAATATTATAGTATGATTTTTAAAGGCTAACATAGCGATTAACGACTAACTAAAACAATAACACTACTCCTCATAGTAACATATATATAGATATTACTAACAGGTAAAAAAATGACACCTAGAAACGTCCTGACATTAAGAATATTCACAGTTAATCCAATATTCCATCAGACTGATGTCCAAAATAATCATACTTACATGTTAGGATTAGTTGTGTATTAGATTTATAGTATGAAGTCTCCTTCAATAATATGAACTACTACACGCGACTTAAATATTTATAGTTTCTTAATGTGGGCGGTCGTCCTTCATTCATAACTGTAATGTTTTTAGACGTCAATCAGTTGAGAGAGACAGGAAACGTCAAAAGTGGAGACTTCTGATTCGCTTTCTGCTCCTGTGACGGCTCTTTTAGTTCTTATCTACGAATTTTATTGGTCAATTTTGTTTCAAAGATTAACTATGAGTCTTGTTTTATTCGTTATCAAAATATCTTAATGAATGAATTGAGTCTAATTAAAGGTGGGCGATGAATAGTGATTTGTCCTCTATTCTCTTCCTTGATCAAGCGAGTAGGTGGCTTATTATCCTCCGGTACTGGAATCTTGCAAAGAAATGATTCATTTAATGATTAACAGGAATAATCTGGAAACATTCCACGCTATTCCATCAGCATGACTATTAAATCTTACTTTATACTTTGATTCAAACGACAATCTTCAAGACATACCTGATATTAATCAAGGACAAAAATTCTACCAGGATAAAATCAAAGAACACCGCCTTGTCTTCAAATCTTTATTATTCTATATAATTTATATTCCATGTTACTCGCAACACCGTTTTTGAACCATTTCCAGACTGGCGCCAACGGTACTGCATTTAACGTCCCTTGGCAAGTTTCCACGAAAATTAGATGTAAGGGTGAGAAGAACAATGAACCGAAAACCCAATTCATAAATTAAATTTATCAGAGTCGGTGACTACTGTAGAAAATGTGGAATATCTAAAGCCCGATAGAAACAAATGTTACAGAAGATACCAACATTAAATTACCTGGCATATCTGACATATCTTTTATACTCTATTCTATATGTCGACTATTTCACTATACCCAGCGATAATTACAGATTTTGCACATTATTTGGGACACGAAGCAAATGAATTTGAATTTAGTGACGTACTTGTGACATTTTCAATAGCCTGTATTAAATAGACAGGTATACTATCGTTATAGGATGATGTACGACCTTCTGGTTTTTATATCTAGTTACAGTCTTATATATGCATATAGAGCTACACATTTGAAGTCCATAGACAAAACTTCATGTTGTCTAAAGTTGCTTTCTGACAACTTAAATTTGTAATGATCTTCCGCTTAACATGTTTAAGCTCTACAGCATCAGGCTACATGGATTCATCTATAGATATCCGATTAACGAAAATTTAATATGAAAGCAATTGGAGTTATTTCCTTAATATTGAGGGTTGTTTTGAAGATTGAACAATACTCTAAACTAAAATACAACATTCTGAGTAGGTAACCACTTAGTAAAACAGCTCTGGTTCCCAAATCCTCATTCATAATCACTATATATGACCAAATGTTGATGATGTATCTTTGATTTTCTAAACAAACAGACGAGAGTGTGGAAAAGGAATGTGTACACGCTTTTAACGAACACGCTACAGAGGAATTTCAATAAATAGCATTTCTTTACCACACGTAGTTCGTCTGCAATCCCTTACTAACAGATCAGGAAATGTGGCTGTATATTTTCAGTCGTTATGTCACACTATAGACAACATTTTTATTATGAAATGACCCATGATTAGATCGTGCATATCGCTGCATTCTG